TGTGTGTGTGTGTGTGTGTGTGTGTGTGTATGTATATATGCATATTTGTTTAATGAGTGTATCTTTTATTTCATGAAATGCACTCTGTAAAAGGGAAAGAAATGAGTTTTAGTTTTTTTTAAATGAATATTTTGTATGGAAAATTTACTGAAGCGGTTAAAGAGATGTGAGAAGATTAAAATAATCCGTGATTATTTTTTCCATAATTTAATGTAATGGAAGGATAGAATTTTCCATCTGATACGTAAAATAATAATATTTGAACTAATATTCGTCTTTTGTATCATAAAATTTATCTATATAATTTATAGACTATTTTAATTATTGATTTAAAAAAGAAAAAAAAAGAAAGAATTTGAGGATCCGTTTATTATCATCTATCATATTTATTTGGGTATTTGAAATGATTCATACATTTGTTGAGAAAAAAAAAAGAAAAAAAAAAGGGTAAGAAAGGATAAGATATATATTCGAAGCAAAAGATGTAGGATGAATGGTTAATAAATATTGCATTATTCATAATTTGAATTTGATTTAAAGATGAAAAGCAATACGTCACCGGAAATTCGTCATTTTTTTTTTTTTTTTGATGATTCGATTCGTATAGTTGAAAAGATTTTAAGGATATGAGGGAATGAAATGTTTTGTGGAGAACGTGAAGTCTGGATAGGAACGAGTTGGAAAGAAATGAAGTGGAAGAAAAAGAAGAAGAAGAATAGATCCATCTCCGCTATTCCTCCAACAACACATATCATCATCTCTTTGCTGTCAGGTTCTTTAAGGGGTCGAGCGGTTGTGGTTAAGTATTGATATGTATATATGTATGTATGTATGTGTGTGTGTGTATGTGTGTGTGTATGTGTGTATGTGTGTGTGTGTGTGGAATACATGTATTTTAGTAGTGGTTTTGTTAGGCTTCATTTGTATGTGTATATGTATGTATAGATAGGAGGGAGGATGAAAAATGTCTGGGTCGGGTACGTCGTACCAGGTAGCGACGATGTTGCCGATATCGTTGAGCGACGGCTTCAAGGAAGGAGGGGGGGGGGGCAACGTCGTCGATGGGTCATTTTGTTGATGCTGCTTGCCGGTGCCGGGCGCTGCCTCATCCGTCCTCGTTCCGTTTCTGGCGTGCCAGCTCCAAAAAAAATTTTAGGCATAAATGCAAAACTCAGCGTGCTGCTCACATTTCCCACAGCTGCCTTCCTGTTCTTTTCTTGGACTACATTACTGTCTGTGTGTGTATGTGTATATGTGTGTATGTATATGTGTGTATGTATGTGTGTGTATGTATGTGTGTGTATGTATGTGTGTGTAAGTATGTGTGTGTAAGTATGTTTATGCGTGTATGTATGTGTATGTGTGTATGTATGTGTGTGTGTGTGTGTGTGTGTGTGTGTGTGTGTGTGTGTGTGTGTGTATGAGACACCATACCCTACGAATCACCCTGGGCATCTCATCAACCAGCCGATGGATGCTTTTGAGGACCTCCCCCTTCCATTCCCCTCCCCCCTCCGCTTCCCACTTGTCTCATTGTTTCCGATTTCGGTATGTTGAAAATCTCATGTCTTATGGTTGGTAGGAAGTAGTAATAGTAATGATGGTATGGTTGTTGGTAGGAAGCAGTAATAAGTAATAATAGTAATATAAGGTTATTTATCATAGTTGTTCAGTTGAGATGTGAGATAGCTAAGTTAGGCTAAGGTAGGAAATACGCTGTTAAGGCCTTTTGACAATCTATGCATTTAGTACAAATCATTTTTCTCCTTTCTTTTTTCAGAAATGTTAGAAGGTTAGAATTATTGATGCACTCACTGTGCAAGAATTGATTATTTTCTGTTTTCGTTTTTCTTTTTTTTCTTTTGTCTTACTTTGTAAGTTAACTTTATGACAGTATAAGTTAGCTGCGATATTTTTAACAGCAAAATTATTTCAGTGGTAATTTCGATAGTCATATTGATTGGGTAAGAATTATATATATCGGAATGATTATTCCATAAGGATACTGTATGAAGGAGTGGTAATTCAATCTGGTCATTAACACAAGAGTAGCAAAATATTTTAGTGCAAATTTTTGGCCATTCAAATTTTATTGAATTCTTGATCAATATTATTAATAAATTTATACGTAATTGATACATTTTGGTATGTGTCATCTTTTAAACATACGTCACTCTACAATCATCACAATTACACGTTATTTGATCATAGTTACATGCTTGTTTCCATGTTTTTGACATTAATGAATTTATACTTGTAACTTTCTAGAATCTGCCATAATACTTTCATCATTCATAAAATAATTTCCCAATTCTTGAGTTCCATTTAATTTCCCTATTATATTATTTTCACTTGAAAATTTCATTCCCAGCCCAAAGAAAGCTTGTGACCTTCTCCCTGAGACCTCTGCTGCGACAGTACGTGTGGCGTCACAGCAAGAGCACCTCAGGGCCCAGGTCCTTTCGACCACATCAAAAAGTTTTATCTTCAAGAAGATAGGTAGCATCACGACTTTCTTTCACTCTGTATTTTATTCTACTGCAATTATTACTCAAACAGGTAGTCACTTTTTTTTTTCCTTTATTTTCCCCAAAAAATTTATAATGTTTTATATTTACACACATGAAATTTGTAGATGTTGAAGCACCGCTTATATGGCATTTGGGTTTCAATGAAAGTGAAGAAATTCAGGTAATGAAGCTCTTTATAAAATGTTTCATTCTCTTTTCGATTTTTCAGAGAGCATTTGCTGAAATTGAAATCATCTTTGAAGTGATTGGATAAATTTATAGTAATTTGAAATTTTTAACATTTTACAAATTAATGAGAATTCTTGAAATTTAGAAAATAAGGAAATTAGATGGAAGTGTTATTTCTTGATCTTCCATTATTTGTTATTATTTTATATGATAAGATACATGCAACATTTAGCAATTTCTGTTAATCTTCTATGATGACTTTTTTTTTTTTTAGGAAATCGATTATGTAGAGGCGGAAGTTGAAAGCACGGATACGGTAGAGCCTCATCTGGACGAACTCTTCGGTGAAAAGCTATTAATTGCAAAGTTTTGCTTGGCAGATACATTGAATAAGCCACCGTCACATTCTAATATGGCTATTACTGGAAGTGATGAAATAACTGTTCCACCTGGAACTGTGTTCAATAAACATGCTAAACGTCATACATCAGTGATACTGCGAAATATCGGAAAAAATACCAGTAAAACACAACAATCATTACAGTCAGCAACTGTTAAAATGGATGGTGATGATTCTTCCAAGCGACCCGATTCCGTATCATCGCAGCAAACATTTGTCCTCGAAAATAGCCGTCGTCGGCCATTGGTTGCACGAGATCCATTTAAAATTGGTTTCGTTTTTAAATGATTTGATGAGATCATTCTAATAAAAAAGAATGAAAGGAGAATGTAAATAAACTGTTTTACGAAAAGAGCAATGAGCTTTAAAATTCATTTTTCTTTTAAATTTTCAATTTCTCAATCAAACATTTTAAAGGCATTATTGTTTTTAATTGATATTGTAAGTTAATGGATAATATAATCTTTTTCTTTTTCTTTTTATTCTGCTCTCACTGATATAATAAACATATTTTGCTAACAAAATTCAATTCAACGAAAAATTAAACTTCAAATAATTTTTATTTGAATTTTTTAAATATGGAAGTTTATTTTATTGTCTGCACTATTAAACATTTTAATAGATGTGGTGTTATAATAAAAACGTCCTCTAAATTGTTATGATTTAATTTAAATTGAATAGAAAAATGAATTTAATAGATTTGCTAGATTTTTGATAGTAAAACATTATCAATAGGACCATAATATGATAATGTTCTTTTTAACAAAAATTATTGTAATATTTAAATTGTCTGTACTATGAAGGTTTTTTCACTGAGCAAAGAAAACGAACAATAAAAATCACTCATAATTGCAAACAGTAAGGTTAGTTTTGTTTTGTTTTTTTTCACTCATCAAATTCATATTATCTTTTTGTGACTTTATGGCTTATATGCCCCTATTTCTGTATCATGTTTTTCTTTATCTGTTTATTTACAATACTTCAGTATTCCATTTGATATATTTAATTAATTTCATATTACTTTAAATTGATGTGTATACTTTATAAAACGGGGCGTTATTTTTTGGAATAATGTGTCAATATAATATTGATCAATTAAATAACAGTTTATCTTAATAAAAATTGAAACATATTTGAGAATGAAATGGAATAATCTGTGTCATTTATTATCATAACGATACTTATCATTATGAATGGTGAGAGAAAAGAGAATTATCAAGGTAATACTTTTTTTTATGTGTGTTTTTTTTATATATATGTATTTGTATGAAAACAATTTTCACAGTTTTAAAGAAAAGTACAGATTTATTATTTTTACATCTGCGTCGGTCCTTTTTTTTTTGCTTTTTACTTCTCAGTAAAAGTAAGAGAGGGACAACTTCAAAAACGTATTCGTCATTTCAGTTTCGAATTTCGAAAACAAACATCTGCAGCAGCCAGATTTCTTCACCAACTTATCGTCTACATCAAAAAAAAAGTAAAAGAGAGAGAGAGAGAGAGAGGGGGCGAGAAGGAGAGAAAAAAAGACTTCTTCGGAGGTCAGAGAAAGGAACGGAGAAGAAGGAAGTTGTCTTTTTCGAAAAATTTTTTTCTTCCTTTTTTTTCACTTAAAAGCGGAACAACACTTTCAATGAATTTCTCTTGGTCTCTTCTCGCTCTCGTATTATTATTCATTCTTTTTTCTCTTCCTTTTTTCCACCCTTTTTACATTCCCTCTTTCTTTTCCATAAAGGAAACTCATCTTTTCAACCACACACTCTATGATTCTGTAATTCGTTTCTATTTATGTGTGTACGAATATAAAAAAGGAAAAAAAATTTTAAAGAGAAAAAAAAGGAGAAAGAAGTGAAAAAGTATCCCTTTAATAGTGCACACGCATACACACACGCGGGCTGACACACAGAGACACGCACACACACACATACGCATACACTTTATACGCGTACATACATGCATATACACACGTACACACGCGTATGCCGATGCACACACGTACACACACACACACACGTACACACGCACACACACACACACAACCTTACACCCACATGTTCATATTTGTGAATGAATATTTTTTTGTTTATTGTAATTATAATATATCAATATGAATGAGATTTATGAATGTGTAGGATTTATTTTGTATCTTTTACTATTTTACAAAAAAAAGCGATTTGTATTTCCTTTTATTTTGATTTTTGTATTTTGTTTTTTTGTTTTTTGCATACATTAATAATAATAAGCAAAATGGATGTGCTTTTTTTTTGGTAATTCAAAAATCCCGGGAATTTTTGATGAATTTTTACATTGCATTGATAGTAATTATTAAAAAAATGAGCAAGAAAGAAGGAAAAAGAAAATGGATAATTGATTTAAAAAAATTTGATTGTTAAATTATGTAAATGTATTGTTTCAATTCATTGTTTTATTTCCCTTTCAAAGGGAAAAAATTTTGACAAAATTTGATGCAAAAATCTCAGTTCTTTTTCGTGCATATTATATCAGTGATTTGATGTGATATTTGATAAATGAAAATGGAATGGAAGTGATATGAAGGATGATTTGAATTAAATAAAATGTTTGATTTAAATTTAATACATATGATATCGTACTTTTTATATCATTGTTGGATATTAATTATATTGTTGAATGTATAAGTTTCAAGTGTGAAATAGTTGAATATTTGACATTTTATTAACAACAACTTATAACAATAAGTATAATTTTTACAAATAGATTGGTGAGTTGATTACAGTAACCCGAGTGATAAGAGAGAAAATGTTGACGATAACGGCGACAGCATTGAACAACGACGAATGAAAAGGATGAAAGTGGAGAGGGGACAAATTGGGTCAGGAAAAATGGGTGGTGTAGGAGGAAAAGGGACAGAGACAACATTACTACTACTACTACTACTACTACTACTATTACTGCCACCCCAAAACCATGGTGACATGTTTTTATTTACCATACTACCATCTTTGAACTTAAAATAATTGTTATTGTTGTTGTTCGAAAGACTAATTTGAATCCGGAATTGCATTAAAATCATCGTTTTTTAACGTTTAAATATTGTAAAACCACGGAATAATGAATGAGCGGAATTTATCAATTAATCGATCAATCAGTCAATCAAAATGAAACATTTCCTAAATACTTTTGCTTCTTTTTTTTACTTTGCAAAATAAATCAAATAGTAGTTTTATTATAACAGTTAAGAAATTATCATTGTAACAATATTTAAAATAGATGAATAAATAAAATTTATGAATTTTTTTTTTTTTTGATTTGAGATTAGTCTAGCCTATCTGGCTTAGTTTGATTTAGACATGATAATAGAAGACAAGAAGAGTGGGAAGAGAAGCAATGAAGCTATCGGGACGATGTGGCATCAAATTTTTTTTTTTTCCTTTTGAATATTTGTTGGCGATCGGAGGGAGGGGAAGAAAAGAATTTGGAAAAGAGTAAATTAAACATAATGCGCCACCATACCATTCCAGTTTTCTCTTTATCCTTCTCTCTTTCTCTCTCTCCCTCTCTCTAACATTTCCTCTTTTCTCGTCCATTTTTAGTTAGTTTTTCATTTTCAATCTTTTGTCAACACCATATTTAAATTGAACTATGCTTCCATAATATACAATTAAATTTATGAATTCTTTCCTTTTTTTAAAAAAATTAAAATTGTTAATATTCGTTCACTATTATTGTTTGCAATTTTTCCTTTTATAATTAAATTGAAATGGTAAAGTTTCAAAGCTAA